ATTAGAAAGAGAGAGAAGAGAGAGAACACATGAAACTTGGAGGAAAAAGTGGTGACGTAGAGGAGTAACTGGAGGGGAGAGAATGAAGGGTGGATTTGATCAAAACACGTGTGAAATTCTCAAAAAGAAAGTTGCAATTTGGGACAGGCTAAAGCTCAGTCGTGCGTGACTCCCCAGATAGAGGGAAAATGGCTACCATCTCCCTGTATCAGTCCCTTGATTCCTGAGGTCACCAGTGAAGTTGGAAATATGGGAGCTTCGTCTGCTGGACTATTCTGATGTGTGTGAAGTCAACAGAAGGGAGAGAAAGTGTTAAGAGAGACCACACCTTCAATGGTATTATCCACATTACAAAATCATATATTATAATCCCAGTTCAAAACTTATTCATCTGGGGTCGGAGACATGGCTCAGCAGTTAAGAGCGTCTGTTGCTCTTTCAGAAAGCCAGAGTTTGACTCCCAGCACCTATGTTGGTCAGCTCACAACTGCCTATATAACTCCAGCTCTAGGGAATCCAACACCCTCTTCTGCCCTCAGTGGACACCACACACACAGGCACAGACACACACACATACACATAAATAAAATTTTTAAATATTCTTGGAACCTTAAAAAAAGAGATTCATGTTTTTCAAATTTAGGGATTTTTCTTTCACATTAGTCTGTGTTGACAAGACAGAGACCTTCCGGGATTACACCCAGAAAAATTCAACGTGATGCTTCTGGGCGTCGCCACAGGACATGCAACGCACATATATCTTCCCTTGTTGCCCTCAGAGAGCAGAAGAGGCAGAGAGCCGCAGCTGCAGGCGGGAGCACAGCCACCAGAAACCGGTCAGTTAGTTAAGGGGAGAATGTGCATCAGGAAACAGGGCCAAGGCGTGCAAATAAAGAGCAAGAAAACATTGGGGGGCCGCAGCAGCAGAGTTCATATGTGCGCCATGTGCCGTGTACCCACATATTTGCCGTGTACCCACGTATTTGCCTTGTACGCATCTATTTGCCATGTACCCACATAATTGCCGTGGAGTTGCAAAGCCCCGGGAAGTGTGGAGCAGTTCTGCCCACTACAGCATGGCTGCATTCTGCAGTGGTCACAAGAGCAAATTCCAAACCCTCCTCAGAGGAGGAACAACTCTAGAGAGAAGGGAATGTGTAAGTCCACGATCCCGGCGGAAGCACAGGCTGAGGAATGCAAACATCTCCAGGAATGGGAAGGTTCAGAAAGGGTGCTGCTCTGCCCAGGAGACAGTCTGAACTCTGGATCCCAGGACTTGGGGTAGAAGACAACTATCACTCAAGAAGAAATTTTTTAAGGGAAAGAATATTGGAGGGGAGAAAAGAAGCAAAAGGTACATTGCGAATTGATACTACTGAACTGGAGATGGCAAAAACAATGAACTACTTTAAACCCTATGACTTCTCTTAACAGCAGCTCATCTCTGTTGAGAGAAAGTGCTGTTGGTGGAGCTGTAGGCAGCAAAGACGGGGTGAAGGCTCAAAGGATCACCTTCCAGAAAGGGGACAGCCACACCAGGAATAAACAGAGAAGCTGAGCTCAGCAGGGCCAGGGGCCTGAAAGGCCTGACAGGCAGCACAGGCTCACAGGGGCTTTGCTGCTTAGGAGGCAGGGAACACCACACCTGGACTGCAGGGGACAAGAAACTCCCCTGCACTGCCCTGCTGCAGTGTGCTGTGCAGGGGTGTGTGTCTGAAGGCCCGTCTCTAGATTTGGGGAAGGAAGGGGCTGGGTGTGGCCAGGCAAGTGTGCAGGTGACGAAGATGACCATAAAATGAGCAGCATGGTTTCTTTTACCCACCCACACATCAAAGGAAGTTTTAGAAGGGTTGAGTCAGGTAAACCTGATTCAAACAGACAAGTTACTTAAGTCTTCTGGACCTGGTCCCTCCTTTGCAAACTAGAGACGATTACTTCAAGGATTAAATAAATAATGTGTGCAAAATACTTAACACAAGGACTGCCATCCAGGAAACACTGAACGCTGCTGTGTATGTTAGGTGGGAAAGCATGTGTGTAACATGCTGGAGGAATGCTTGTAGGTAGCGTTCTTTGCAAGCAGAGCACAGCCACCACTGCTACTGCTCAACGTGGGAAGGAGGGCAGTGTCAGGGGCCATCTCAATTCCATAAACACCAAGGGGCAAATGTCACTGGATAGGCTGTGTCACTCGGCTCCCTCTCACAAAGAGAGACATGAACACCCCTTACTCTTATTGTACTCTAAGAAACATTGCATTTTAGATCTCTAAAACGTCTCTAAAAGAATATAGAGCATCTAGCCAAAGGTAAAGCAACCCTGGAACTTAACACAACTCAGGGCTGACTCTTAGGTTCCCAGAAGGAACCCTACAGCTGCCTCTGGCTTGGCACATAGGGGACCCACAGTAACAGAGAGCTGGTGTGCACATGCCAGCACACTGGGTCCTAGCTGCTGGGACAGTACATCCCAGCCTTTGCTTTTTACTTTAACTTCAGTAAAAGCATAAGGCCAAGAGGACTTCACTTCCCACCTGCTTTATCTCAACCAGCTCACCTTTATGGGCCAAAAAGCATGCTACAATTCAAAATCTTTTGAACCAGCAACAAGAGATCCTGCTGTGTGCCACCATACCTTTCAACCTTTTAGACTTTACATCTTCCTCCTGAATGTCTGTTGGCCGTCTTGACCACAGATGGGAGAAGTGATTTGCTGCTGATTAAAGACTAAATCAATTTTGTTCACTGTGGGGGTCTCGGCTTTGCTAGGGCTGTGATCCCAGCACTTAGAAGGCTAAGGCAGGAGGACAGAGAGTTTGAAGCCAGCTGGGACAATATAATAAGTTCCAGGCCTATTGGGCTACATAGCAAGGTCCTATGGGGGGGGGTGGGGGGTGGTTGGAAGTGCTAAGCAGGAGCTAAAGATGGGAGAACACTGGAAACCAAAGTTAACAGAATCTTCCAAATAATAATACCCTAAAGGCAGGAAAGGCTCAAATGTACCTCCCTGCTCTCAGTGGCCCTATCTTCCCAGCCTGTCCAGTTCCCTGTGTCTCTGTAATGGGCTTGCACTGGGTAGGGCTAGGATCTTCTCTCCCCATAGGCTGTTACACTCTAATGTTTGTTCTGTTTCCTTCCTCTCCCAAGCCCAGCAGATTAGATTGCTGAGTCCTGTCCAGCTCACCAACACAGACAAGAAAGTGAAAGTGCAGCTACCCAAACTGCTCATGGGGGAGGGCGAAGAGCAGCACACACAGCCCAGCAAACAAGCCAGAATAAAGACAGCCACAGTCCTTTTTGAGAATCACAGGACATGGTTACTACACCGTAGTAGACACCAAGATCTAATCTGAGCCATCCAGCCTGCACCAGGGGCATCGCCCAGCTGTGCACCTGCCCTATGACCAGGACAGGAAGCAGAGGAAGTGCTGAATGCATACATGGGCCATGCTCTTGCTGCTTGGTCTGGCTAGTGTTCTAGACTTTCAGCAAACACTGGGCACTCAAGCGGCCCCCTCTGGGGCCTGACTGATAGGGCTAATTGCTTGTCCACTTCCCCCACCCGCTGCTGGGAAGGAAGGGCTGCTTGCAAGGCAAGCTTCCTATCACTGAGGTATATCCCCAGCCCATTCCCACTTCCCCAGATCTACTTCATAGGCTGCCAGCAACCCAAACCGTGTGTGTGTTGTGTGTGTTCAGGATGGATTTTGCCCTCGTAAAATACCAGGCTGAATACAGCTGAGCTTACTCTGATGACTTCGCAGGCCCTGCTTCCTTACACAGAAGAGGAAGGCAGCACCAACACAAGGGAAGAGGAGGGTTCGCAACCAGCCTCCACCAAACAGCAGGCAGCTTCCAAATCAGTATCTAGGAATTATCCATCTAGGAGGTGGGCAAGGCTCCCAGCTAAAACTCCTCTAGGACTGCCTTAGACACTGGAAAAAGTAGAGTTTACAAATACAGCCAAAGGATTCTCAGTTCTAAAGACAACATAGAGGACATTCCCATGACAGCTTGAAGGACCACATTTCCAGACCAGACTTCATATTTTCTCTCCTGCTCTGACAGACAGGAACATCTCTGCACTGGCCATGGAGTTTGGATACAGCTAGGACTCTGGCTTCAGGTGGCACAGGGAGGAAGCCTTCCGCAACCATGATGATGCTTCTTAAAGGCATCCTCTGGCTTCTACAAACACCAGGGCATCTAGCTTTGTGTTCTAAGCACTGTGCACAGCCTGCACCCCATGAATCCCACACCTCATTAAAGAAAACTTGGCTCTTTCCTGGCTGTCTAGTATGTCCTTATAAATCAAGTCTGTCAAGAGAATGCAACCAGGTTGAAGGCATAAACGTTTATCCCTTAAATCTTTTGCTTTGTTGTAGCTGAAAGCTTTGTCCCCAAAGGAGAAGGAGGCAATGAAGAAAGAAGGTACCGGTGATTTGACAAAAGGCATTAGAGCATTAGTATAATTTTGGAACTTCGGTCCCAACTGCAAAGTAGGGTGCCCCAGGGGCCGCACACACCGGCTCAGTGCCCCCTGCTCCTCTGAAAACCCATATGGAGTCGGAATGTGGGGGGCTAAACTAGGACGAAGGGCAGAAGGAAGCCTCTGAAAGGCGGTGGCAGGGCCAGGGGCGGAGATGCTCTGGTCACACCGACACTCGTTCCTCCCGCTCGGCCTGGCCTCTTCTCTCTTTCTTGCTTTTCCTTTTTGATTCTAATGGCACAGTCCCGGGTGGAAAAGGGAAGCGTGAAAGGTGAAGAGGCACGCGTCCCCAATCTGGCACCAAGCTGCGTTTGCCACCAAGTGACCCCCATTTGCCAGGAATCCCGGAGCCTAAGGCGGGACGTGGGGGGGGGGGTCTCCCCAGGGGCTCACGCTAGGCCCGCGGGTATAGACGGCAGGCGTGGGAAAGAAGCTGGAGGAGAGTGCCCAAGAGACGCGCGCCCTGCAGCCCCGCGGGCGGTGCGGCCCAGCTGCCCCGCGGCAGAACTCACCCATAAGTTTCGGTGCTGCAAACGTGAGAAAATGCAGGTCCTCAGAGCCCACCCCCGGCTCCCAGCCCGCAGCCCGACCCCGGTGACCGGGTCACCCCGACACCCCAGCGCAGGGAGGGGCTGCGCTCCGGGCTCCGCTGGCGCTGGAGGCCGCCGGCTCCGCGCTGGGGTCGGGGTCCGGGGGTCGGGGCTCGCAGCCCGGGGTCTGGGCTCGGCTCGCAGCCTGGGCTCGCGGCCCGCAGCCTGGGGTCGGGGCCAGCAGCCCGCGGTTGGGGCCAGCAGGCCGCGCCTCCCGACCGGACGCCCCACTCACCGCTCCTCCGGCCGAGGCTGGGCAGCGCGGGTCGCACCCCACGCTGGGCTCCAGCTCTTCTCCCCGCGCTCAGCCTCCCGCGCTCCGGTCTCCTCCGCTCTTTTTTTCCGGGTTAATTACGTTTCGCATTAAAGCAAAACCCAGCCCCGGATGTGAGTACAATGCTCCACGGGCCGCTTGGGGGAGGAGAGGGGTGCCGGGGCGCCGGGGGCGGGGGCGGGAGGACGGAGATGGGAATAGGGACGGGGACCGAGACGGGGACGAGGATGGAGATGGGGATAAGGACGGGGGGAGGGAAGACTGAGACAGGGATGGGGGACCGGGACCAGAGCAGGAATGGAGATGGGGGTGGGGGATAGGGATGAGGAACGGGATTGGGACGGGGACGGGGATGGGGACGGGTATACGGACGGGGACGTCTGAGCTCCGCCAGCAGCTGGGCAGCCCGTGTCGGCTCTCCTGACACCCTCGGCTCCCGCAGCGGCCGTAGCCCAGGGACGTGGGGTTTAGGGGTCGAGGGAGGAGCGCGTCTCCCGGGTGGTCTGCGCTCCCCGTGGGGTGGCAGAGCCTCCGCAGACAGAGCGCGGGCCAAATGGACTTGGTCACCAAGACCCAAGGAAACCCCTGAGTCCGCGCCCGGCCGCCATTCTGCAACCCCTGGGTACCAACCCTGCTCAGGGGGAGGAAACCGAGACTCCCCAGGCGTTAGGTAAGGGCAGGTCTGTCCGGTCCGACGCAGGCCTCCCACGTGGGAAGACAGACATTTAAATGTAAGTAAAGTCAGGCCGACGGCATCCGAAACCTGAGCATGGATTCACCCAGGTACTGAGTGCCCTGAGCTGTGGCCTCTGGAGATGCTGAGATGCGCAGGGATATGCTCGGGGTCCTGGGGGAGGGACCCACAACTTGACCTCGGGGCCTCTGCAGGGCCAGGCCTGGGTGCGCACGTGGGAGAGGAAGGCCAGTCCGCATCCCCAGGCCCGGGCCCGGCAAAAGCAGCCAGGGCACGTGATGCCCACCCAAGGTACCGAGGTACCAAAGCTCAGGAACTGCCCAGCCAGGTGAGCCGGCTGGAACAGCACACGCCCTGAAAGTGGTGATGAAACCGTGCTCGCTTCCTCTTCTGTTTTCATTGCCAAAGCGAAAATAAGCCTCCCGCTCTCTCAGGTGTGAAAAAACAAAAACAAAAACAAAAAAAAACGTTTGCTTTAAAACATTCTGCAGTGAATGAGGAAGGAAAAGATGCAAGCGGAAAAAGCCGTTTCCCTTGAAGTAAACATCAGCATCAACGTCGGATGTTCACCGGGTCAGTGGTCCCGCCTGCATTCCTGGGCACCCACTGACCCACTCTGCGCCTCAGTTTTTAAGTCTGGGTCAGTGAGTCAGCTCTTGAAAAGTGTGTCTTTCCAACACAGAGCTGCTATGTGAATGTATGTGAATGTTTTATTAAAAAAGAGATTGCCATTTTAACACAATTCCTTAGGGGGATCACACCGGGAAAACCATCCACTCCAGTCGGATTTGCAAGCTGAGTGCTCCCAGAAAATCCTACTGGGACTGATGGTTTCAGATCAGCAGTACTGTGCAAGTGTCCGATTTCATGGTATGGTTCCTATTAAAACCCATACTGCTCTACTCCCTGTGGGGCCTGCCTGAGTCACCCAGTCACACAGCCACAAATATTTTCTGAGCACTACTGTGCTGGATGTCTGGGAAACAAAGAAGCCAAATGCACTGGTTCCTTAGAAGATACAAAAGACCCTTCTGGATGGCCATGGAAACACTTCTGTGTTCAAGAGACCAGAGAGCCTCTGTGACAGGCTGGGGCCCTCTAGGTCTGTAAGCTATGACTAAGCCTAGGCACAGCTTGACTCCTGTAGGGGAACAGCAGGTGCTGACGCAGGGTCATGCTGCCCCAGGGGCCTCATTTACTGACATAGCTGTTCCTGGTCAGGAGCTGGTCTCAGCTGGATGACTATTTCTGTACTGACATTCACTTCTACATCCCTGGGTTTTGAAGTACTTCTCAAAGGACCATCCATCTCCTCTTACAAGCACCACAAAGCAGTTTAACTGAACTGCAACTTTCTGTAGCCTCCCCCTCCCATAAAACACATACACCAGAAATTGCCATTTTAGAGTGCATATACCATGGTGTTTACTGGTTCACTGACACCGTGTGTGTGTGTCTGTGTGTGTGTGTGTGTGTGTGTGTGTGTGTGTGTATAAAACAAGCTACAGCTGTCTAGACCCAGGCTATTCTCATCCTCCTGAAAGGTGGCCCTACAGTGTCCATGGGGCCTTCTTCCACCTTAGTTAACCACTAACTTACTTCCCATCTAACCCGCATATTTGCCCATATAGGGTATTTCATGAGAAAAATCACAATATGGGGCTTCTTAAACCTTTTGCCATCTCTGCATAAACTTATTTTGAAAATGTCTTCATTGTCTGTATGCATTAACTTTTTTTTCAGTACAAAAACCAAACCACAGTGTGACTCTTACCTGTGGAGAGCAGGACCTTGAAGAAGAGCTTTCCCCTCACCTGTCTCACTCTCTGCATGGGGCCAGCACAAAGTGAAGTCCACAGTTTGCTCGAGCTTTTGTAGCTAGTCATTAGAGTTGGCTCTAGAACCAGGACTGACTACTCCCAGAACCTTCTTTATTGGCATAGAAAACTTTCCTCTGAAGTTAGGGATTATCTGGACAGGAGCCTAACAATCTAAGCAGCCTTGTGTCCCCTAGCCATGTACTCATGCACTATCTGTCCACTTTCGAAGTTAATGGCTGATGAACTGAAAAGCTAAGGACTTCCTATGGTGGGCTAGCCTGCCCTCCAGGGAACTGTATTGTTCTTTGTTCCCAGAGATCCCTGTTATTAAAGTTCCATAGTGGAGTGGGAGCCACTTGACCAGGACAAAGTCATTCATTTGATCCTGGTTCAAAACAATACATTTAACACAGAGGTCAATTGCTTATTGGCCACATAATGTACCTGTACGATTAGGTGATCATTTTCTAAATGTTGTTTAATAGCAAAATGCCAGAAAGAATTGTACCATCCAATTGTCGAAGGATTACTCAAACTACAGTTATTTTGTTCAGTTTTATTCAGTCAATAATTACCTGAGCCAATCACCATTTTTTTCTCATGTTTCCATGTACTTCTTTGCCAGGCACTTACTCTTAATTGATTTGAATATATTACCTACTTTAAGTCTTGCAGTGACACTAAGTGCCAGGTACCATTATTTCCCCCCATTTTATGTTGAAGAACTGCCTACACCTAGGCAGCTGATGTCAGAGCCTGCTCTCCCTCCCCTGAACTACTGAAGTCAGCGTCATGCCTTTACATTAAAAATCTTTGCATTTCATTCTGAAACTTTTATATAAAGAGCCCACTGTTTTCATACTCTCAGGAGACGACAGAGTGTCATTTTACAGATAGAAGAATATGGGCTTTAGGGAGAGAGATATAATCTCAGAGTCATGTAGCAGGTCACGATGTGAGCCCTCAGCTCTGACTCACAGACCAGCAATCCCGGCCTGAAGTCCAGGGCTGCAATTCTCAGACTTCAGAACAGAAAAAATGGGAAGTAGAAGAAACTTTGGAAATTTCTGTTTATAGCAAAAGGGAAATAGCGGTAAGGGATGGGGATAAAGTAGGACGGAGAGAGATAAAACTTCTGTGAACACCTGGAGGTTTGTGTGTGACACCAAACGCAGAATATAAACAGGATATAGGTATATATACACAGCCACATGTGTGCATATATACATACACACACCAAAATTACTTCCTACTAACAAAGTTTGAAAAACAGATACACTGCAAAATCTGACTGTAACCTAAGCCACAAAACTGAGTGTTCATTCTGACCCCAGAAAGAACATTCTACCGGCCTGCCCAGGGGTGCCATTCCCATTGATTCCTGATGGCACCATCTTTGGCTCAGTTTGTATGCCTGCAGGATGCCATTAGGATCCTACATGCCCAGTGACCTCTGGAGGAAGTAGGCCTTCCCTTTCACAAAGAAAAGCCAAGCACATACCTTAGCTTCAGATTCGTGACCGTAGTTTAGCATTTTACTTTACTTTTGTTGAGACTAGTTACTATTCACTTCCTCAGCACTGAGAGAGTATGGAGGGGAGTGGGGAATGTTATTAGTAAATCCAAGTGGGTGATGCAGTCCAAGCTATCAGTGAGAACCAGCTTGGGGCTCCGCATTTTAGGAGACATCAGGTCATCAGTGAAGTCAGTGACTGACACAGTGATTCTCAGTGCAACATAGAAGGAAAGAAAACCAAACAGGGTATTTGGGCACAGAAACATTTATCCTTTGGTTATTTTCCTTATTTTGGTTATTCATTTTTGTTCTATGTGCCTGCAGAAACTCATGTTAACATTTAGTCCCTGTTGTGAGATATTAAGAGGTGGGACCAGGTGAGCTTTTAAGAACTGACTAGGGGACTGGCAGGGGACTCAGTCAGTAAAGTGCTACCAAGACTGATGACCTGGATTTGATCCCTAGAGCCATAGCGGAAAGAGAGAACTGCCCCAGAGAAGATGTACTCTGATCTCTACACACACCATAGCACACATCGTTTCCCCAGTAAATAAGTAAAGATAAAAATAATGGACCTTGTATGATAGAGGAAGAGGAGGAGGAGGAGGAAGAGGAGGAAGAAGAAGAGGAGGAGGAATTGACTGGGTCATGAGGGGCCTGCCATCAGGGCTAGATTACTCCATTCCCTGACTAATGGACCATGGGTTCTTTCTAAGTAGGTCTGCTATGGATGCCTGTTTGGCTGTGTCTCACAGTCCATCCTCTTGGCACTGGGAACCCTGCACTATGTTGGGACTCTTTAGATCCCCATAGGCACAGTGGTCTACCCAGAATCAGAAGCAAA